ACACATACATTCACATGCATCCACACGCACGCATATTCATAAATGTTTATATTCATCTAATCTAATCTAATCTAGGTCTAATAGTATTCTAATAAGGCTGGAAAAACTAAATCGAATTTTCGATTATTCTCGATAAAAAATTTATCGGATGATTTATCGAAAAAATAAAGCAAACTCGTACTGCGTATGGTACACACGAGTATGCATGCGAAATTTCAGCTCTCTAGCTCTTRTAACTTCTGAGATCGACGCACTCATACGGACAGACGGACGGACGGACAGACGGACAGGGCTATATCGACTCAGCTCGTCGCGCTGATCAAGAATATATATACTTTGTGGGGTCTGCCACGCCTCCTTCTGACGGTTACATACTTTTTTACAAAACCATTATACCCTGATTTCCTATTTTCAATGGGTTCAGGGTATAAAAACCCTATTGAAGCTAGGGATTCAGAATCAACGGAATATAAGAGGATTTCAAATAGGCTCAGGTAGTAGATCTCCAGATAATATTGAAACTAACTGCATCTAGAGCCGACCTGCTCCACGCTACTCTGGGTATATGCATATATCTATATAGCTGTACATTCAAATACCGCCTGAGCGAGCATCGTGCAGTCGTTGAGGCCCGCTGGCAATATTCTGAATGATCTTCGCTCGATCACAATTCCAAGTTTGATTTTCACACATTTCGGTGAACTGCCGCCGCCGCCTCTACCGCAACACGCGATGCACGCACCGGCTCTTTATTTGCATACGAATACGCGTCGGGTATTCGCTTATTCGCTTATTCGCATTCGTATATTCATTTAGTACTCGTATATTTGTATTTGGGCTTTAGTAGCACTTTATTATTTATTCATTGTTAAGCTGAGCTTTAGTTGCTTTTGTTGTTGGCTGTTTTTTTTTTTTTTCTTGACACTTTCACTTTTCTCATTAAAATATGAGACCGGGCCGAGACTGGTTTTTTTTTTTTCAGCTGAGAGGCAATATTACAATGCGTTAACGATTATGCGAATGTGGATCTGACTATGACCCGATAACATATAAGGAGATTTGTATTATCATATGACTTACCACATATGTCTGTATCTCATGTCTATGTCTCTCTCTCTCTCTCTCTCTCTCTCTCTCTCTCTCTCTCTCTCTCTCTCTCTGTCCCTCAATCTGTCAATACCTGATCAGTATGTCTCTCAATGCCTCTCTTTTAGGCTCCACATCTCTCTCAATCTCTTTCCTTCTTTCGCCCATCCTTTGCATATCAATCTCATTTTATCTCTCCTTCTGTCTCTCTGCCTCTATAGCTGCTTTATGCCCACTATCTCCCTTTAATACTATAAACTTCAACACCTTATCTCTGCTTGCTCTCATCCTTTAATCTCTCTCCCAAACTGCGTCTCTCCTTCTTTCGCTCTCTTTCGGTGTAATTACATCTCTGTCTTTCTCAGATATTTCTCTATCTTTTTCCGTCCCAATTTATGATATCATTTTATCTCTCTTTTATCCCACTCGCTCTTACTCTCTCTCTCTCTCTCTCTCTCTCTCTCTTTCTCGACCTTCTCTCTCTCTCTCTCTCTCTGTCTTTCTCCAGTATTTGTCTACCTCTTTCGTCCCTATCTCTCTCTCTCTCTCACTCTCTCTCTCTCTCTCTCTCTCTCTGTACCTCTCCAGTGTTTGTCTACCCTTTTCGTCCCTATCTCTCTCTCCCTCTCTCTCTCTCCCTCTCTCTCTCTCTCTCTCTCTATCGACCTATCTCTCCTTCTCTCCCTCTCTCTCTCTCTCTGCATCTCTCTCATTCTCTTTTGTTTACTTTTTACTTATTCGACTTTTTTCTTTCTTCGAGCTTATTTAGTTAAGTATCTAGCACACTTATAGGATATCTACTAGTCGTGCCAACACTTCGAAATTACTTAATTTTCGAATTGTGTCAACCTTTATGAGTACTCAACATCGATGCATTTCAACTCTTCGCTACGAAAATGAACTGAAACCTGTTTCCCATTTCGATCTGGCACACGGTGAATTCTTCTTGTCTTCTGCTTCTTGTCGCATCTTCCGAAAATGCACTTTATTCGCCCTTCGCATACATATACATACACATCATACACATGTATGTGTGTATGCCTCTGCATGAGCACACACACACACACACACATTGCCCAGCTCATAATTATGGAGAATTCCAGTCGTGCCTGCACTTTTTGGCAGTATTTATATACCTTGTGTCCAGTAGCCCAGTGGGGTATATTGATGCGGGCAGATGAAAATATATGTGATACCAAATTCATGATATATGTATATGAAGTAGATTAGAGCTAGACTTTTGTTGTGTCTCTAGAAATCTGTGTGAGAGCCTGAAGACCCTTTTATATTTCATTGTATATGCATAGCTCGAAGACTCTTGGAGTTAAGTATATCATTTTTGGTATATAGATTCCCATATAGAATACACATATGTAGAAGAAGTCCTTTTTCGGATCCAACTTTAAGTGACCTTTGTAAAGCTGTCAATTTTGCCATCTAGCGACTCTTTTGGAGCACTGATTACAGGGTATTCTTTGTTTGTTCCAGTAGATTCAATAAATTTCATTTTAGATCTTCAAGAACCGGTTTCTCGTCTCCCAGCCGCACGATAACGGTAAAGCTCTAGCAAGCATTGTGGTTGTATTTTCCCAACTTTTCATGTTATTTCGCCTGTTTTTGGAAAATGGAAAATGCATTTGCACGACATTTGGAGATCTTTTGTATTACACAATGGGCTTGCAAAACAAACGAAAGAGAGTGGGAGTGGGACAGCTAGAGGGAGAGGGAGAGAGGGAGAGAGATGGGACAAGCTGTTTTCTGTTGTTTGCCAAGTCGAATCGAGCTTTGTGCCTCAAGACGAGGCTAAAATGGTAGCTGCAGCTGTGACTGCAGCACATTCAGGTATATATATGTGTGTGTGTGTGTGCGAAAACGGGTCAACAACAACCAAAACAGTTGCCACAAATTAATTTGTGGAACAAAAATCTGAAATTCCCCCCTCCCGCTTTATAGATGAGATTAATGAACGGAAAGTGAGTTTAAGCACCTTCATTAGCAGCTTTTACATTTGTCACGGTATTCACAGTGAGTGAATGAATGAATGCCCTTTGGGCGATTGATTGATCTGCGTTTGATGATGCGATGAAAATTTGTTCATTCATTAATTTTTAATCAATTTTTCATCTTTACTTGAATTGTCTGACTACCATTCATAGTTGTAGACATAGTAATAGCCAATTGCAATTAATTCATTCATTCAATTTCTCGATCTAGTCATTCATAGTATTCATTTAGTTATGTTGTATGTGAATTCATTAGTTTATTCATTTTGCTTTCCCATTCATTTTGATATTCATTTATCTTGACTTGTTTTTCTTTTCTCTTCTTCCTTGGTTGATTCATTATTCATTCATTCATATACAATATATTATTCAAGAGTTCATTTGCTCTTTTATTTTTTGTGAGTTTAATTTTTCTCAATTTTTACTTATTGATCATTCATTCATTCAAAGTATCGAAATATTCATTGGCTTCTTTCTTTTAAATGAATATTACATTTAATTATTTATATTTGTAGCATTCACGTTAATTGCCGAGTTCTATTCATTTTTATTGTTCTTCATGCGTTTGAACTAGTTCTTGTTATTCATTCATTTTAAGTATTCACTTCGCTGCAACTTCCTTCCGACTATTCACTTGTTCACTTCCTTGAGTATTCAAATTATTCACTTATTTTTATCATTTATTCAATCGCATTTGAATTCACTTTTTTTAAGCTTTACTCTTTCTTTTTTTCTTTCCCATTTCATTTTTGTCTGTTTTTTTTTTTTTTTTTTTGCGGCCAACTTTTGCAACAGCAGCATAACATAAAATAGCAACAACAACAACAACAATAGCGACAACGACATTCGTTTGTTAACAAAATGCTTATTACAACATCGCCGATGACGCAGGGCTTTTTCTTCCACTGTCCAGCAGAGACGGCGCAGCAGCGTCGTCGTCGTCGCTCTCTCTTTGGAGCGCTCTCTCTTGTATTGGTGTACTCAGTCACTCTCGCTCTCGCTCTCATTTGCTTTGTGTGGCTTGTGTGTGTGCGTGTGTTGTCTCTGCTGCAGCACTTTCGTTGCGCTTGCTCAAGCTAACGGTAAAAATTTTGCACTGCCTGTGCTCACTTGCGCTTTCAAGCAGTCGGCTGCGGCTGCGCTGCTGACGTTAACGCTTGAGCCTATGCTGACTGAGATTAGCGCAGTTATTGTTACTACGTTTTGGGCTCTCGCGCTGCCGCAGCCGTTGCTGCTGCTGCTGCTGCTGCCGCCGCTGCTACTGCGACTTTTTGGGCTGCGTTTTTGAAATTGTTAGCATATTTTTACAGCTGGCCAAGACGCGCAGCCGCAATTCGTTGCCGTGCGTTCATGCCAAGCGGTCGTCGCTTGTCGCAGCTCCCAAAGCTAACCAAAATCATACGGCCGCCGAGTGTAAAGCCCGATACGCACTTCCCTCCCACCACCACTAACGCGGCAGCCTTAAAGCCCGCCGTCTCGCTCGCACCAGGGCTCGCGTGTGCGCAACGAAAGTAAAAGTGACAACAGCAGAAAGAAAAAAAAATAACAACAACAACAGAAATTATCGAAAAAGAAATACGAAAGAAACAACAGAAAATCAGCGACTGAGAAATTCTAACGGTTTTTAAAAAGCAAAGCGGCGCTCGAAGCAGCGCTTATTACACAACTGCCACCCGAAAGTGAAGAAGAGCAAAGCAAAAGTAAAATCAAAATCAAAATCAAAAGCAGAAGCCAAGTTCGAAGCCGAAAAGTTGAGTTTTTTTTTATGTGCTTTCTTGTGTGATAATTAAAGCTCGGTATATTTTTTTTTTCTTTTTCATTCGCTGCGTGAAAATGACTTAAGCAAAGTGTTTGCAAAGAAATTTACCAAAAAAATATATATACATATAAAAAATAAATAAAAGACACAGATTTTGGAACTTAATATATATTTTTGGAATTTCTTATACCCACACATACACACATTTTTTTCGATATTTTTTCGAGTGAAAGTGAAGCAGGGCAGGGCGAACGTGCCCCATCAATTTGTGCGATATTTTTTTTTTGTTGTTTTTTTTTTTTTTTCTTCTCATTTAAATCATGCCGCTGCCACTGCCGCTGCCGTTGCTGCTGCTACTAGCGCTGGCAGCGAGCGTCGCGCTGGCGGCCATTGACAGCAAGGACAACAAGTCCTCGCCCATCATCAGCCCCGACCAGCACAATGTCATCAACTTGAGCCTGCAAACGGAGACTAACAACATCAACAGCAACAACCAGAGCAATGGGAGCAGCAGCAGCGAAGCCAACGTCAGCTTTGATCTGACGCGCAGTCAACGACTGCGTGATGCGCTCAACGTCTTCGACCTATCGCTGCTGGCGTCGCAGTGGCCGCGTCTTGAAGCCACACGCATGCTGAGCACCAACTGCACAAAGGACATGCGCAGCTACCTGCACGGCTTGACCGACGCCAAGATGTGGGCTGTCAAAAGTGAGTACAAGCGTCACAAGTGGGAACAGTTAGTGGCACTATGCAAATGCAAGTGCAAATGGGAATAGTTTTTTGTGCTGTGAATATGAGAACACGCAGAGCTTTTATGCGAGGCATTGAGTAGCCTGGGAACAGTTGCCAAGCATGTATGCCAATGAGGAACGGGAAGAAGTGCGCTAGTTGTAATTGGAATCTAATATGAATATTATGGGAAATGTTATGAAACGAAATTCACTGAATATAATAGTATTGATTGCGCTTGGAAATGACAACAGTTAGCTCTCGAATATAGTTGTCATAGTTGATATTGGGAATAATTGTCTAGTGGGATTGATGCCAATTGGAAAAGGCATCGTTGTGTTATATTTTGATTTAAACGGAAGAAGGAATACTCGATAAGCAGAGTTAATTTTAAATAGGAATCTGCTTACAGAATAGAAAAAGGGAAGAGCAAACTATCCTAAGATTAAAATATTTTATATAATTCANTTTAATCTTAACTCATCGATTAGGAAACTTTAAAAACTTACCATATTAACAACTTAATTTTGGATAACATATGAATATATTTGGTTTTTTGCTTCTCAGATACGTATATTAAGATATTTTGTATAAATTGTATGGCTTACAGCTCGCTTGGTGTTGTAGTTGCTGTTGTTGTAGTTGTTGGCTGTGTTGGAATGGCTGCATGTGAACGTGTCGTTTGGTGTAGCGCATTCTCAACATTTCAAGTTTTTCGGATCTGCATAGAGTTCGGTTTGGTCTTTGGCTTTATGCATGCGCCGCTGGCTGTGGACGCCCAAGGTCGCAATTAGTTCTTGCCCGACAACAAACAACTTGCAACCAGCAACAACAACTACAACAACAACAACTGCAACTTAATTGTGCATTGTGATTTAGTGTTTAGTTTAGTTTGAATGCTCGCTCAGCCAAGTGAGAAGTGGGCATATTTGATTGCCAAAATGTTCAATGCTTGAGCATTGATATTATCTCTGTCTCTGTTCAGGTCTGTGGAGCTCTGTAGAGCCCTATCTGGCTATTAATGTTGCTAGAGACTTGTGATGATGACTTGGACTTATTGCAAATAGTAGCGCCATCTATGGATTAGTCTTAGAATTTTGCTGTCGTATATAGCCCGATCCTATGATATGTTTAGATATTTGAACTCTGGAGAGGGGAGTGTGGCATATCAGATATATCTGGAATAGTTTTAAGGCCATTCTAAAACTCTCAAAGGATTGTCATATGTCATGTTAGGGGCATTCCTAGGTTCAATGTAGACTTGAGCTCTATAATAAATACATCTATTTATAACGTAGACCACACATTGACAATCTTTAAGATTGCTTTAGTGAACCAAGTGATGCACATTCGATAAAGTCCCTAGCTACAACATGAATGAAAATCGGAAGAAAGAAACCTAGAAAATATTTAATTTTCCTGTTCATTTTCAAGATTTTTGCACAAATACTTGATAGTGTGAAACAATGAAATATGAAGTATTACGAAAATTACAAATGGTGCTCTTCCGGCTGTAAAAGTAGTTGGCTTTATTTTAGCAAGGCAACGCGACGATCCGTTGAATATAGAGTCTCTGGATTCCACACTTCTTCTGCGATTTATATACATACAAAGTCTTGATGATCCACGCCCACAGCTGAGCCGCGTAATCGTATGGCACTGCCCTTGTTTGACGTTTCAAATTTGTGAAAATATTCATATCCAAAATAAATAATAAAAAATAAAAAACAAAAAGAAAAAGAGAAAAAGAAAAAAGCCAAATTCGATTTGTTTTTTAGACCGTGAAAGAGTATTATGCAGTCCGGCCAAGTCGGGCGTCCTTGTTGTTGCTGCTCGATTCGATTTGGTTAGTAATTTACATTTGGAGTTTTCGGCTTTTTGGCAAATCGTTTGGTCATTATGTCAGCCCGCCGAACAATGGCGCGTTTGTAACTATAACTGTAATTGGATATTGCGCATAATGCAGCCCGGCATATCATATCACAAATTTGGGGGCAACGCTCAGTCGCGCTCGCGCTCACGTTCACGTTCACTCCTGTCAAAGAGTTAACCAAGTTAACCAAGAGCTGAGCTAGCTGTCTAACTAGTTTGCGTCACGCTCATGTTCTCTGCCTATCTGTCTATCTGTCTGTCAGAGTTGAGTGGGCAGTTCATCTGGCTGTTAGGTATTCTGTTATTTATTGCTAATGGGATGCTCGAGCCGGTGCTGCCACCTGGCCAAATGCAATTTGGCAATTCTTGAAGAGCAAATCAAATGTTTGGCAATTGCTCAAATTTAGCATAAATTGATTATGCAGATGCTAGCTGTAAAGTTGCTGTCAAGTTGAGGTCATGGAGCTGTCACCTATGCGAAAAACTAACTGGGAGCTGAGCATTGAGTGAATCGTATATAATCTTAAGATGAGAACTAACATGTGCTTTGACATGCACATGCATTTCCCTTTTGATTAACAATCACGGGAGACCAAAGCTGCTGTCAACAGTTAGAAATTTACAACATATGGCAACACTTGGCCAAGTTAGGCGATTCTTGAAGGCTTAACATGCACTTTAACAGGTACGTGGTAGATTGCAAATCAAGCACTTCTTTCACTATGAAAAATTAGCTCAATTTATAAGCTAGTTAGATAACATAAATTTTAACAGCAGCTGTCAAGCACTTAACACGAACTTTAGCAGGTACCTGGTACCTAGAAAATACCGACTTCATATGAAGACAGAATCTAGCTTGACTATCAAATGTCTGGCACTTGGCAGCTGGCTGTCAAATGGGTAACATGCACCTTAACAGGTACATGGTAAACACAATGCACTGGCTGACAAACAGCTGCGAATTCGACTCCAGCTTGTTGCAAGGCAACCCCAAATGATGAATAAATGTTGTGCGACTAGTTTTTGGGTTTTTTCTCCTCTCTTTGGTTTCTTTTGAATTTGGTTGCGCCAGCGATTGGAGTGCATGCCACGCCCCCTCCACTGGCCAACTGGCCAACTGACTGACTGACTGACTGACCGACCGAGCGGGCCAGCCCGAGTGACTGACCAACTGACACGAGTGAATGTGAGTGTGTCTTTCAGTCTTTCTGCTGGTTATGCAATCAATTAACACGAAAACACATTCAAGACGAGACGCAAAACGAAAAAGAGAAGAAAAAATAAATATAACATCATCAACAACAGCAACAATAACAACAATAGTATTTTAGTTGCTTTCAAAGTTTCACTGACTAACAAGTAAGAGTGATCTCCTGTTTAGTAGGTAGTGAACGACTAGCAAATACCCTGAGCTGCGGCAGAGCATGCAGCGCACAGAGAGATGGGAAAGGGGAGAAGAAGGAAGAGAATAACATGAAATTTAGCAAAGACAAGAAGAAAAGACGAAAAAGAAGAAAAGAAGAGTTGAGAAGAGATAGAGAAGACAAAAGAAACGCGAAGTGTGAGAAGTGTGGAAAAAAAGTGGAGAGAGAGTGGGAGGCAGAGAATGGCTTAAATAAAGAATGAGAAGAGAAGCCAATAGATAGATTAGAGGTAAAAGCATAGAAAGCCGAATGGGAAGAATGCGAGAAGAAGAAGAGAAAGACCTTTTCATAGATAAAGAGTTGTAGAGCTGGGAAGGGAAGTCTTATAGCATAATAGACAAATATGTATATATGTAGTATTACTTCCGGAGAGCTCCTTCCGAAAGAGAGTTCGTACTATTGAAGGATCAACGTGTGCAATGTGAATCCTCTAACTGCTATAAGTTTCAAGGCTGCACTAGATCAAGAGGGATATATATGCATAGAAGTATGTATGAGACTTCAAGTAGATCAAGTTCCCATCTGCCTGTTACATACTCAGTCGCATGGACATAAGACCCGGTTCAATGTTTACAGGGTATCAGCGTTTAGTTGCTTGTTCTATGTACACATATTTGTGTTTGATTTATTCTGTTGCTCTTCTCCGTTCGCTCTTCACATTGCTAACCACATTCATTGGCTTGAACTAGCTCTAATTGCGCTCTAAGCGGTTTTCTGTACTCTTGGCTGCTTTTGCATTTTGATCACGTCATAGCCGAAGAGACTTAAAAGCCAAGACCAGCCAGCCTCAAGTGGCCAAGATCAATGGCCAATCATTCAGGCTTTTGCCCAGCTAGACGTCTACCTCCAGATACCCGTTACCCGTACCTCCCGCCTGCCAAGCCTGTGATTGTAGCTCATGAACTAGTTCGATACTCCGATTCATATTAAGCAACGAATCCAATTTTAAGCTTGCAAATTAGTCGAGCCGAATCATGTCGGTGCATAGGTCAGGAATTTGTTGGCACCTTTTATGCTGTAATTACACCTCTTAACTAGTTCCAAAGAACTAACTTTTCGGCATAGCTGAACCACACATTAAACGGCTTTGGCTCAAATTTATGATTGAGATCATTCACAGTCATGAATCTAATTACTAATGTCGTTCGAGTACTATAGTGGAACTACAGCTCTTTTGAGTTTCCGAACTAGTTCCGACCATTTTTTCATGGAAATATCATTGTAAACTATACAATAAATGTGCAACAATTTTTATCCGGCATTTCGCGATGCAAATTATCATCAACGAACTTCATATTGATGTTGATTGATTGCTTAAAATGATTTAATGAATTTGTTATAATTTGAAATAGCTCTTAGACACGTTTTAGCCTAATTAAATAATGCAAAAATTGTTATTTCTTTTTTTCTTGTTATTACCTCCCACATATTAAAATTTCTTATTACGTATTTCTTATTACGTAGACCTCATCCTGCTCAGTTTTTACGTAGCAATACCAGGAAATACTCGTAATGCTAATGCTAATACTAATTAAGCAAAGCATTTTCTTTGTACTTTTCGCCTTGCTCAGTTTGGCTTGAGCCGATTATTTAGTAATCGGTGCACAATGTTCCCTTACTTATATCGATCCCATGCCAAGAATTTAAACATCAATTTACTTTGATGTTTGAGCTGTTCTGCAC